GTGCCGCCTCGATCTTTAAATTAGATTTTCAACGCCATAAGAATCAAGTCATTTGGAGTATGGTTCCTAAGATATGCCCAAAATACTGATAACTGGTCAGAAAAACTTCACAACGCAACTATACTTCAATATTTTGAATATTTGGCTATGAAAACATGAAAACCAAACTTTGATGGCTTCATAAGATTTGGAGAGCATTCTCTTAGCTTCAAGATGAATCAAGAATTATCTCAATCCAATTTGTGTAGCTCAAATTATCGCCAAAACTTTGAACATGTCAATCCTGCCAAACCTCTCATTTTTCATGTTTTATTCTTCCTTTGCTTCTTCGCACCACGTTTTAGCCATTTTCTTTCCAATTGAGCTTTTCACCCATTAGAACAATATAAGAGCAAAATTAAGTAGTTTCTACTCAAGATAAAACTCAAATAACATGGTTAACTAGCAACTTATACCTATAAATGTACCATAAATTACGCCCTATTAAACTCCCCCACACTTAATCCGTGCTTGTTCTCAAGCACAAGAACAAACCTATTAACTCCAAACAATGGTTATATTTAAGACTATCATTATTAAAACAACCATTCTAAGTAAGTGTCAAGTGCTAATAATGAAAACCAAAGAGATACTTTTTCAGTTAGTTTTTAACACCATCAACCCTTTCAAGTTCGGCTATCCAATTTAGGTATATAAAATATTTAACAAGCATTTTGTAGCAAAATGGACCAACCATTAATCCAAATCTCAAATATATAACTTCATGGATCCACAAACTATTATTTATAATTCACATTTTTTTTCTTTATTTTTCTCTTTGTTTTCTTTAAATTCCCCCACACTTGACCTTTTTCACATTTTAACAAGGGGAATGTACTCAATTTTCAGCCATTCAAACTTTTTGATACGAACTTCAACATCTTCCAAATGAAAGAACTCGGTTACTCAGCTTTCACCACTTAATAATCACATACTCATAGTTATCGTTACTTTTTGACGTGAAAATCGACACTTTTAGGTGAAGACCCATTGGGCAACAATAACCAGTGGAATATAGTCAAATTAATAAAATAAGCATTTAACACCAACAATAACATAAAACCCTGCTCATCTCCCTTTATCATGGAGAACTAAGATTAATAATTAGGTCAAATTCACAAGAAAAATGCTAAAAAAATATTTACAATACCTAGAAAAATTAACCAAAAATTGAAAAGTCTCAAAATATCAAATATTCACTAAAGAAACACTCTAAGGCAACACCATTTAACACTTAACACATCCATACAAATAAACTTTAATAATAATAACTCTTTGAATATAACCCATTGCCTATCAGGAAATCAATAATAAGAACAAAAATCTAAAAAAAAAATTCCAAAAATTTCACTTCACTCTTTCACCCCTCCCCGGCACTTAAGACAATATTGTCCTCAATATTGTGAGTAAAATAATAATAATAATAACAAGAAAAGAGCTGAAAGTGAAACTCCCTGATAATAAATAATTCCAATGACCAAGCAAAGTGGGAGGAAAGTTGCCAATTACCATCCAATAGTTAAACTTTGGAAGCCATCCTACCAATCTAAATGAACAAAGGAACACCATAAACAGGGGTTAAACACACCACCAAATAACCCAAATTAGAAAGTAATAAAATCATAAGAAACTAAATACCACCATTAATACCAAAAACAAGAAAAATATTAAATAAAAAAAAGTCGAATTGCCTCCCGATAAGTGCTAAATTTTATCTTTTCAATCGGACAATGCCAATAAACTGAAGGAGGATGAAATGGTTCAGATATTTGTACATCCTCTAATTTATGTGCCTACAGTACTGCATAACTATTCGTATTAATATTGCGTTTCTAGACCGCTGAAGAAATAGATGAACGATGATCATGCAAAGGCATAAATCTTATATTCTGCTCTAAGACATATTTTTCACCATATAACTCATCAACAGCTGCAATATAAGAACAACATTCCTCATACGAAGGGTATGTTAAGGGTTCAAATATATTAAAGTCTTATTTCTCTTTACCAACCCTTAAAGTTAATTTTCCTTCAAATAAATCTATATTAGCTCCTCCCGTAGTTAAGAACCCTCTACCAAGGACAATAGGTATAGAAATATTTTCTTTCATATCAAGAACAATAAAATCAGCAGGAAGATAAAATTTACCAACTTTTACCAATAAATCCTCTACAATGCCTATTGGATATCGAACTAAACGATCAACTAATTGCAAAATCACTTGAGTAGACACTAGGTTGGCAAACTTCAATTTTCTGAAAAGTGATAGGGGCATCAAATTAACACTTGATCCAAGGTCACATAAACATTTATCAACAAGAAGATGTTCATATTGACAAGGCATATTAAAACTCCCCGGATCTTTCATCTTAATTGGAATACGATTTTGAAGCATTGCATTGCATTCCTCAGAAAAGACACCTCTGCAAAGTCCTTTAACTTCTTTTTATTAGACACTATCTCCTTTAAGAATTTTGCCTAAACAGGGATATTTGCCAAAACTTCGAAAAAAACATATTGACTTGTAATTTTTTAAGCATATCCACGAACTTCTGATTCATCTCATCAGTTGCCTTCTTCTTAAGCCTTTACAGAAAGAGGACAGGTGGCACGTGAGTTTTAACTTCAGGCACCTTTATACATTGATCATCTTCACTGTTGTTGCCCAATCCATCATGCTCATCCTCAATTTTTTCACTTCTATCATCCACTTTAACGTCATTTTTCTTGTCAAATACTGACTTTACTTTATTTTCTGGATCATCCAACACTTTCCTTGAGTGAAGGGTTATTGCCATTGTAGCTTCTTTAGGATTCACTTCAGTGGTACTGGACAGTTTACCTTACCCCTCTCAGTCATTGACTTTGCCAATTGGCCTACTTGTTTCTCCAAACTTTGAATAGAAGCTTGTTGAAATTGAGTTATTTGCTCCAGTTTCTGCATGTATTGCAACATCATATTTTCAACACTTGGCTTCTTTTCTTGAGCTGGCGAAAGCAAATATTAAGATCCCTGCAGCTGATCTGGGAACCGAGGTGGTCCCAAAATGGTGATCCCTTGATTTCTTCATGATAAATTAGGGACATTTCTCCATTCCTCATTGTACGTATTAGAAAAAAGATCATTCATTTGAGAACATGGCTCAAAAGATTGAGTTTTGCCTTTTAGCAACAATTGCATATGATGCATCTGACGACTTAATTCGGCCACTTGTGAATCCAAATCTTTACAAATAGACACTTCATGGACAATTGCTCTTTTATCTCGACCTGCCTTTTGTTGAGAGTTACTAGCAAGTAACTCATATATTGTGATATGAACAAGGGGTCTATGATTCATGTTCAAGTCATGAAGATGGTTGAGTAATTGAAGTCTAACATTCCAGCCATCCCTTTCTTGAGAATTAGTATGTTTACTTAGTTATTTAATCCTTAGCATCATATGTTTATGATAATTTCCAGCCAATTGTTGTCGTTGGTTCAAGTATTGTTAGTTGGTCCGATTCATATTAGCCTAAGAGTTAAACAAATCATTAGTTTGGTTAACTAAACGGCTAGATCATGTTGACCATAGTTAAGCCTTAGGACGAGTTATTTTCTTAGTTAGGGTTGAATTAGGTATAGTTAAGAAGTTTCCTAATTTAGTTAGATTTCTTTTGAGTCTTGGTAAAGGCTATAAAAGAGCCTTAAAGTCCAACGTTTTTTGGAGGTAAATTATGAAAGAAAATTTCCAGCAAACGCTTTGTGTTAGCAACATCTTTTGTCCAAGAGATCCAACTTGAATACTTGAGAAGATTCTTGAGTTTTTCAATTAATTTATCAATTCAAGATCACGTTGAATTGTGACGTCATTCTACTCTTCTATTCAATCTCGAGCAGTCCTTGATTATCTAGAATCCATCCAATTTATCCATAACCTAATCAAGATAAATAATTTCTCTGCCTGATCGATTCGGCTCTTCAAAATAGGTTCTTGCTAGGTCGAGATCGCATCATCTGGTATCAGAGTTTCGGCTCTTGATTCAGGTTAATATCATTTTGTTCTTCTTGATTTTCTCTTTGTTTTGCTACCAAGCCCTAATCATTCTTATTCAAAAAAAAAAAAACTGTTCATCGTTATAGGGTTTGAATATCTTGTGATTACCTTATGTCGCTCGTTTGGTTCTTTTTTTTTCCTTGTGTCATTTGTTTCCCTTGATCAGATTCATTGTTTGAGTAAAAAAAAAAATGTCGTACTGTAGCATAGCTACTGTTCATCGCTACTGTAGTGATACTGTTCACCGCGTCGTTTTACTGTTCATCTGAAATACTGTAGTGGTACTGTTCATCCGAAAAAAAATTGCATGCCTTGTGTTTGTTTCTTGTTGTGCTTGAGTCTTGTAATTGGTTTGGTAATTTCTTAAAGTTCTTGGATCACCTAGTTGGGTTCTTGAAATCTTGATACAAAAGTTTTCAACTTTCCAAATTCTTGAAACCCTAGTTCATCTTCTTGGGTATTTGCGGCTAATTTTTGTTTCTTGAAGTTACAAGTTGAATTGAAAAAGAAAAAAGAAAGAAAGAACATAGATTGATCGTGAAAAAAAAGAGAAAATAAACGAAAAAAAAGGAAAGACAAAAAAAGGAAATAGATCCAAGCCAAACAAGAAAATAGTTTTGAATTTGAAAACTTAATTTGACTTGGATTGTTGCCAAATCTGGTCATATCAATCCTTGTCCAATTTCGTTTGTTAAGCCGCACTTAGGAAAACTCTTAAACTAATATCTTTCTTTTCAAAAGTGAACCAAAGTTTCCCAAACAAATTCCCAAATTTCGTCACCCAAACAAGTTTCCAAATTTCAGCCACTCCTAGTTGGGTAGAAATTTTCTAGGATCCCAAAATTTCTGTCATTTGTGTCTTGTTTATTTGAGTCTTGTCTAGCCATTGAGAGTCCGCGTCTAAGTTCTTTTTCTAGCTTTTAAATGAGTCCAAACAATCCAAGTCAGTTTTGGAGTCTAAGAGTCCGTAAGTTTACTAAGTTGAGTCCATAGTTTCCTAATTCGAGTCTTCTTTGTCTTGTGTCTTTTTTGGTTGAATTAATCACCAAATCAAATCAAGTTTTTGGTGCTGATTTTCAGTAAGAATTTAAGTGTAAATTGTGTCTTAAATCTAGTCCAAAATTGGTACAAACTGGCATCAAATCTATTCGGATTTCACCAAATTTTATTAGGGTCTTCGAGTTCCACTTACCACGAACCAAACTTGGGAATTTTCAGCCTTGTTTTAGCACTTTTGAGTCATTCAAATCAGTCTTTGTTGTGATCAAATCTCAACTCAAGTGTACCGAATCTCATCTACATCACTTCCTTGTGCATTGTTGGATAAGTCATTGAACTACTTGAGGAATTTCTTGTCAACAGGTATCTTGGGAGGAAAACATCTAGTCACCATATTATGAGTGACCAACTAGTATTTATAGGAATACAAACCTAACAGACTATTTACAAGAATACCCTTACTAATTTATTATCTATAAAAATACTAATATTCTCCTAACACTCCCCCTCAAGTTGGAGCATATATATCATAAGCACCCAACTTGTTACAAATGTATTTCACCCTAGAGCCCCCTAAACTCTTGATAAACACATCAGCCAATTGATCTACAGACGGTACATGAGATGTCTTGATGACCCCGTCAAGCAATTTCTCTCGAATGAAATGACAATCAACTTCAATATGTTTTGTCCTTTCACGAAACACTGGATTAGACGCAATATGAACAGCCGCCTGATTATCACACACTAAATTCATAGGCTGTTTATGCTCAAACCCAAGTTCCAGTAACATGCTCTTCAACCAAACCAACTCACACACAGTGTGAGCCATAGCACGGTATTCAGATTCTGCACTTGATCTGGATACAACTGTTTGCTTCTTACTCTTCCACGACACTAAATTACCACCAACAAACACACAATATCCTGTAGTCGATCTTCGATCTGAGGCAGAACCAGCCCAATCTGCATCACTATATCCTTCAATATCAGTGTGTCCATGATTTTGATACAGCAACCCTTTTCCAGGAGCACTCTTAAGATACCTGAGAATCCGTATAACAGCATCCTAATGACTAGTACGAGGGGTGTCAAGAAATTGACTCACAACACTCACTGCAAACGAAATGTCAGGTCTCGTTACAGTGAGATAATTTAATTTACCCACAAGTTTTCGATATTGCTTAGGATCATCAAGTAATGCACCTTGATCTCCTGCTAATTTCACATTGGGATCCATAGGAGTATCCACAGGTCGGCAACCTAACATTCCAACTTCACTCAACATATCGAGTACATATTTTCTTTGACATAAATAAATTCCATATTTAGACTGAGCTATCTCAATACCCAGAAAATATTGTAGATGACCTAAATCCTTTGTCTGAAAGTTTGCCTGCAGATTGGATTTAAGTTTCTGGATTCCCACAACATCATCACCTGTAATCACAATGTCATCCACATAAACAACTAATAAAATTTTACCAGCATTAGAATGCCGATAAAATACAGAGTGATCTACTCCACATCTTGTTAGATCGAATTCCATGACAATACTACTAAACTTGCCAAACCAAGCCCTCGGAGACTGTTTTAATCCATATAAGGATTTTTTCAAACGACAAACCAACCGCGGATTCTCCTCCTGACAAACCCTCGCAACCTTGTGGACAAGAGAACTGCTTTGACTTATATTGATGCCGAAGGCAACTGGCATAGAGCTAGCAAGGGAGCCCCAGAGCAGATTCTAACTCTCTGCAATGCAAGTGAAGACTTTAAAAGGAAGGTTCATGCTATCATAGATAAGTTTGCTGAACGTGGGTTGCGATCATTAGCTGTTGCAAGACAGGAAGTGCCTGCAAAATCAAAAGACAGTCCTGGTGGTCCATGGCAATTTGTGGGTTTGCTATCCCTCTTTGATCCTCCAAGACATGATAGTGCCGAGACAATCCGCAGGGCCCTTAATCTTGGTGTAAATGTCAAGATGATTACAGGTGATCAACTTGCTATTGGAAATGAGACTGGACGCAGACTTGGAATGGGAACAAACATGTATCCTTCTGCTTCTCTACTTGGTCAACACAAAGATGAGTCCATTGCTGGCCTTCCTGTTGAAGAGTTGATCGAGAAGGCTGATGGATTTGCTGGAGTATTTTCGGAGCACAAATATGAAATAGTGAAGAAGTTGCAGGAGAGGAAGCATATTGTTGGGATGACTGGAGATGGAGTAAATGATGCCCCTGCATTGAAGAAGGCAGACATTGGAATTGCAGTTGCAGATGCTACTGATGCTGCAAGAAGTGCTTCTGATATTGTGCTTACTGAACCTGGTCTAAGTGTTATCATAAGTGCTGTTTTGACTAGTAGAGCTATTTTCCAGAGAATGAAGAATTACACGATATATGCAGTCTCCATTACCATTCGTATTATGTTTGGCTTTATGCTTATTGCTTTGATATGGAAGTTTGATTTCTTTCCCTTTATGGTTTTGATTATTGCTATCTTGAATGACGGAACAATTATGACAATCTCAAAGAACAGAGTGAAGCCATCACCTCTCCCTGATAGCTGGAAACTAAAAGAGATTTTTGCCACTGGCGTTGTGCTTGGAGGCTACCTGGCAGTGATGACTGTTGTTTTCTTTTGGGCAATGCATAAAACTGACTTTTTCCACGACAAATTTGGGGTAAAAAATATAAGGAACAGTGAGGATGAAATGATGGCTGCTCTATACCTACAAGTCAGTATTGTTAGCCAGGCTCTGATTTTTGTCACTCGGTCGCGCAGTTGGTCTTATGTTGAACGCCCTGGGCTGTTGTTGTTAACTGCTTTTGTCATTGCTCAGCTGGTTGCAACATTGATTGCTGTTTATGCTAACTGGAGTTTCGCTAGAATTAAAGGATGCGGTTGGGGATGGGCTGGTGTAATCTGGCTTTACAGTGTAGTGTTTTATGTGCCACTTGACTTCCTTAAGTTCTTCATTCGTTATGTATTAAGTGGAAAGGCTTGGCTAAACTTGATCGACAACAAGATCGCTTTCACAACCAAGAAGGATTATGGCAAAGAGGAGAGGGAAGCTCAATGGGTTTTTGCTCAGAGGACTTTGCACGGACTTCAACCACCTGATGCCTCTGGCATCTTGGACGAAAAGAGCAGCTACAGAGAACTTTCTGAAATTGCTGAACAAGCCAAAAGGAGAGCTGAAATGGCCAGGCTTCGGGAGCTGCATACACTCAAGGGTCATGTTGAGTCAGTGGTGAAGCTCAAAGGCTTGGACATTGAAACTATTCAGCAGCATTGTACCGTCTGAAGAAGTTAATGAACCTTGAGCGTGAGGGGCCGGCTGGAAAAAGAAGTGTTGATCAGAGAAAGCAGAGAAGGCCATATTTAGTTAGATAAAAGTCTGTGATGGTAATAACTGAACACTGTAGAAATTTGGTAAGCTTACTAACGGACATTAGATTAAAAGGCAAATTGGGTACGTAAAGAACAGAAGACAGCGGAAGAGATGGGTTAATTTCTACAGTGCCTAGTCCTTTAACTTTAGTTGTAGATCCATCAGCTAAAGTAACATGAGAGAAGGAAGTAGACTCTTGAAAATTAAAAAAATTTCTAGAGGTACATGACATATGATCAGTAGCTTCGGAATCAATGATCCATGAGTCAAAATTTTTGGAAGTGGAGAGACAAGCCATAGCATTACCTTTTTGTGCTAAAGAAGCAGAGGGAAGAGATGCGTGATTTGCAGTTTGGTACTGCAGAAATTTGACATAATCTTCCTCGGATATGGTAAAAGTCTTCTGGGACCCTTGTGCTGAAGAACTTGATTCAGCTTGGTCAATGGTAACTGCATTAGCAAACCGAGGTGGTTTTCCATGTAAATCCCAACAAGTATCATGAGTGTGATTCTTCAAACCACAATGAGTGCACTCACGGGTGCCTCGACCTCCACGACCCCCACGACCTCCTCTACTTCTTCCTCCACGAGAGCCACGTCCCAAGTTAAGTTGCTCTATCCGACCATTGTTAGCAACTAAAGCAGATTTGTCATTAATTAGAGCACCATCACCCTGTGCAGTGTCCTTAGATGCAGAACGTAAGACCCGAGCATACGCCTCTGCAAAGGATGGTAATTGTTCACCTGCTAAAATTTGAGATTTGATTTGTTCAAATTCTGGCTTGAGAACGGCCAAGAATTTGAGCACAAGCATTTGTTCTCTTTACCTCTGCATAACTGTAATATCACTTGAGAGAGGCATTACAGCATTTAATTCTTCTGATACTCGCTTAAGATCAGCAAAGTATTCAGTTACTGTCTTGTTGTCTTGTTGCAACTGAAAATACTCCAAAGAAATATCATACATTTGTGAAAGATTACTACAGTATAATAACCGGACATAATCCCAAACTTCTTTTGTTGTCTCACAATGAGAACACATGTAGGCAATTCGTGGCTCCATAGAATTCCATATTGCTCCAAGAATTTGGGCATCCTCTTGAATCCACATTAGTTTCTTGATGTCCTCCGTAGGAGAGTCATCTGTGAGATATCGTTGCTTTCCTAAGCCTGTCAGATAAATCTTAACGGCTTTTGACCACTGTTGATAATTAGTGTCATTCAACTTCCAATTTGTGATTTGAGGCATCACCATTGGCATAATATTAGTAGACGTCACAATACCTTTTGATAGACTTTCAGCCATAGCGAATAGCACTCCAAACCAAACGAAGGGTCAAAACTCGATATGAACAGCGCGTGAACAGTGCCGTGAACAGTGAACAGCGCCGCGTGAACAGTGCCGTGAACAGTGAACAGTGTCGCATGAACAGTACCCGATGAACAGTCCCCCGCGTGAACAGTCGCGATGAACAGTATCGCGTGAACAGTCGCGATTGCCAAAACTTTTGCTAGATGTTTAACCCTAACCCTAGGACTTTTGCTCTGATACCATGTCAACAGGTATCTTGGGAGGAAAATATCTAGTCACCGTATTATGAGTGACCAACTAGTATTTATAGGAATACAAACCTAACAGACTATTTACAAGAATACCCTTACTAATTTATTATTTATAAGAATACTAATATTCTCCTAACATTTCTGATTTCTTCAAATAAGGAGATCAATGACCAAGAGATTTGCTTGGTAAGCTTATTAGAGTGTTTTAAATACTTGAGTGATACATGAGTGCGAGTGCATACACGTAAGGGAGTGCTGTGAGGAAACTTTTGTTTGTTTTTACTAACCATTTTGCAGGTCAAAGATGAATACCAAAGGTAGTTTACACCACTTTGATCCTACCCTTATGTTGGAATCCATATTGGGGGACCTTGAACGGAGGTTAGACAAATCAGTCCAACTCATGCATAAAAGGCTTGATTGAATCGAGAACGAATCCACAAGATGAGGGATTCCATTCAATCTAGCCATGCTAAAGTGTCAAACCATAAATTTCATACCCTCAAGGAGGAGATGGATCGTGATTGTGCACAACGAGCTTATGAGAGATACAAGCGCACTTGTGATGACTATATGAAAAAATAAAAGAGGACGTGTCGAGCATCTAAAAAGAGCTCATTCTACACCATATCAGTTTGTTCATATGAGAGGTCTCATGACCATAATCAAGCTGTGAATCCTAAAAGTTCTCACAATTGGTCAACATATGGTGAACTAAAAGAGGAAAGACCACTCAAAAGGGATAAGAAGTCTATTACATCAATTTCCTCAAAGTCAAAAGCTGCATTTGAGTCATCTAAGGAGAAGTCCTGGTGAGATATTTACCAACGTCTTCTTCAATAAAAGCAAAAGAAAAAGCCAGTTGAAAAGGCCGAGATTGAGAAAGTTGTCATTCACACTGAAAAGTGGAAAGATGAAGTTGTTAGTGAGAAATGTGAAGTAACACTTGAGGTAAAAGTTGAAGAAAGTGAGCTAAAAAAAGAGATGGAAAAATCTGATGAGATGAGTGCAAAATCAAGTGAGCTAATTTCAACTGAGAATGTCAGAGCATATTGTTTTTCTAACAAACTTACCTTTGCTTTGTTTAGTATTTTTTCTTTTATGCAGATTAAGCAAAGTCAAGTGGAGTTAGTCATGCAATATTTCATTCCAAAGTCACTTGTACAATTCACTGGTCTCTACGGAATTTGTCTTCTAGGAATTAAGTCAATTTGATGTCAATTCATGGAATCGGATAAGGTCAAATCTGTCCGTACCTTTGGAAAGTCAACTCCAGTTCACCTTAAACAGGGAATTCTAGATTTTACTTCTTATTCTTTACCTATGATTCATTCATCATCTTTGTCTTATTTTGAGCATGTTACTAGTCTTAATTCTTGTCGTTCTTATTGATGGAAAGTGTAAAGAGCCAGCAATGACTCATCTAATTGAATTTGTTGATGGAAGGAATAATGAAGTGTCAAAAGGAGTTTTCACGTTTAACTCTTATTCTACACCTTCTTATCACTTAGCTAATGATGTTCCATTGCTTATATACCATATTTCTGGTTCGTTACAAGCTGAAACTTACTTCATTTTTGTAGGTTGTAAAGCTGTCCAAAAATTTTCAGACTTATCTTGTGGAATGTAACCAGATTTCATGTTTGTTCCCGACGAATTTGGCGTTCCCAAACCAACAGCTACCCATGATTTTTCTAATCACCATTGATCCATAGACTTGGGTCATTTGTTCTCTTTAAGTACTTCATTGCCGATTGCTTGTTCACAAGAAGATATAGCTGCTAATTCTATCATGTTGCTGCTAACATGAGCTAAGTTTTATGCGCAACTTGAATTCTTGAGCATCAAGAAGTACATTCGAATCCAAGGTGTCGATTTCCCAAGCTTTGATAACAGCTTGGTCAAGATTGTTTGTGAGAAACAAAGAGCAAGAAGGCACTGTAATCAACTTCATCTACGTTGGTACATTCCTTGGTTGAAAACGTTACTTGTGAGTTTCTTGTAGTTGCATAAACGCCATGCAACTAGGTATGCTCATATGAAAGTGATGCCCGAATTACTACAATTTCTCCAATCTGACAATTTGTGAGCAAATCGCTTTCAAGAGGAGGGGAATGATATGAACATGGGGTCTATGATTCATGTTCAAGTCATGAAGATGGTTGAGTAATTGAAGTCCAACATTTCAGCCATCTCTTTCTTGAGAATTAGTGTGTTTATTTGGTTATTAAGTCCTTAGCATCATGTGTTTATGATATTTTCCAACCAATTGTTGTGGTTGGTTCAAGTATTGTTAGTTGGTCCGATTCATGTTAGCCGAAGAGTTAAATGAATCATTAGGTTGGTTAACTAAAAGGCTAGGTCATGTTGACCATAGTTAAGCCTTAAGACGAGTTAGTTTCCTAGTTAGGGTTGAATTAGGTTTAGTTAAGAAGTTTCCCAATTTAGTTAGATTTCTTTTGAGTCTTTGTAAAGGCCATAAAAGAGCCTTAAAGTCCAATGTTTTTTGGAGGTGAATTATGAAAGAAAATTTCCAGCAAACACTTTGTGTTAGCAACATCTTTTGTCCAAGAGATCCAACTTGAATACTTGAGAGGATTTTTGAGTTTTTCAATTGACTTATCAATTCAAGATCACGTTGAATTGTGGCGTCATTCTACCTTTCTATTTAATCTTGAGTGGTCCTTGATTGTCTAGAATCCGTCCAATTTATCCATAACCTAATTAAGATAGATCCTTCCGCTGCCTGATTGATTCGGTTCTTCAAGATAAGTTCTTTTTGGGTCGAGATCGCATAATATTGCAACTAATTCTTCCGGAGTTTTATCACCAATGTACCCTCATGCTACAAAATCTACCATGTTTTGAGTCGTGAAGTCAACCCATCATAGAAAAACTGCATTTGTAGAGCCAACGGATACTGGTGATGAGGACATTGAGCAAGCATCAACTTAAATCATTCCTAAGCTTCGTGAGTGAGCACTCCCTCCATTTGAGTAAAGGAGCAAATTTTGTTCTTTAGATCAATAGTTTTCTGTGGAGAGTAGTACTTGATCATAAAGATATTGTAAACAGCTTCCCAAGTTCTCAAGGATCCCTTAAGTAAGTTTAGTAGCCAAAATTTAGCACAGCCCTTGAGATAGTAAGAAAACACCTCATCCACAGATGATCTTCTGATATCCCACTCAATGGAAAAGTCTGCATCACCAAGTAAAATTCTCAGATAAAAGATAGTGAGTTTTCATTAGGTAGACCGTGAAAAGTAAGAAGCATATTAAAATGCAAGGTCTTGAGTTTGTGATTCCTAACCCCATCACTTAGCCAAATATAATGTGGGGAAACTGCTATTACAAAATGTTGAATGTCCCTCAGAAGAAGTCAAGCAGATGGAGCTGGTGGTGGATTTTGATTATTAGGAATGTTCAAAGCCATCTTAAACCAAGGTAC